TAGAAAATGCATAAGTCTTTTGTTTATCATTTTCTCGAACACCTTGCACAGGCAGCTCGTAAGGGCTATTGGACGGTAACTTGTAACTGAAGAGGGGTCCTTGCCTTCCTTTAGAATAGGAACAACAATGGCCTCCCTCCACGTAGACGGCAGGTACCCAGCAGCCCAGATAGTGTTATACAGAGCAAGTAAACTGATTTCGGTGTCATCGTGAAGGTGTTTGAGCATGTCATACATAATTCTGTCTGGTCCCGGCGCTGTGCTGTGGCACGCATTGAGGGCCGTCCTAAGTTCGGCAATTTTAAATGGAGTATTATACTGTTCGTTTGTTTTGGACTTCAACTCTAGTGTTTTCCGTTCTGTCATTTCTTTATGTTTTAAGAAAGATTTTGAGTAGTGCGCAGAACTGGAAATGCGCTCAAAGTGCTTGCCAAGGCTGTTGGCCTGGTCCTCCAGTGTGTTCCCTTGACTCACTAAAGGCAGAGGATATGCTTGCTGCCCCTTAAGACTTCTGAGGCTGCTCCAGACTTTCTTTTCATTGGTGTAGGAGTTAATGCCGGAGAGAAACTTGACCCAACTCTCCCTTCTTGCCTGACGTCGTGTTCGCCTACCCAGTGATTTCACTTTTTTAAATTCGACGAGGTTTTCTGCGTTTGGATATCGGCGCAGGATGCCCCAGGCTTTATTTTGTTTCCTACGCGCTTCTCTACAGTCATCGTTCCACCAGGGAACACGTCGTTTACACGAGTGCCCATTTGTTTGCGGGATACACTTTTCAGCAGCATCCAGAATAAACGCACTGAAGAATGCTACTGCGCAATCAATGTCACAATTTGTGATAAAGTCACGAGGTAAAAGTGTCAATTCTTGAAATTTCTCCCAGTCAGCGGATGCTATTTTCCATTTGGGAATATGAGGAGGAACCTCATGCGATAATGTCAAGTTTAACATAGCAGGAAAGTGGTCACTGCCGTACGAATTCATGACCACGTTCCATTCTAACTCGGTAAAGAGAGAGGGAGAACCAAGCGCCAAGTCTATCGATGAGTATGAGTTGTGATGAATGTTGTAATAGGTAGGCTGTTTTTTATTGAAGAGGCATGCTCCGGAGCACAGGAGGAATTGCTCTATCAGTCGGCCTCTCGCATCGCACCGGGCATCCCCCCACAGAGTGTTGTGAGCATTGAAATCACCAACAACAATGTAGGGTGCCGGCAGCTGGTCAATGAGGTGATGAAAATCTGTGCGGTTAAGTTTGTAGCTTGGTGGTATGTATAGTGAACACACAGTGACTAGTTTGTCAAATAGAATGACGCGGACTGACACTGCTTCGAGTGCCGTCTGAAGAATAAGAGGTCGGCAAGGCACGGATTTTTGTACTATTATAGCTACACCGCCGGATGAAGCAGTTGCCTCATCCCGATCCTTGCGGAACACGGCATATTGTCTAAGAAAGTTTGTTTGAGATGGCTTCAGATGTGTCTCTTGGATGCACAGCACCTTGGGATTGTATTTATGTAAAAGTTCTGTAATGTCATCAAGATTGTGGAGAAGACCCCTAGCATTCCAGTGCATTATTTGTGTAGCCATTTTGAGTGAGTTTTTGTGCTGTGCGTCGAAGTAGACAACCTTAGCTTAGGAGGCCTTTTCAGGCCCCCTAATGCGTGGTTTTTCTTTTTTGGCAGGCTCCTTAGAGCCACGCCAATCTTTCGGCGTCTGAGGCGCCGATACACTTTGTATTGTGTCCATCATCTCGGAAGAGACGCTGGACGCCCGCTCGCGGTGCCCGCGTGCGGTTGTGAGAGACTTCGGGCCCTCTGCCTTGGCAGGTGGCCCGAAAACTGCAGACCCAGAGGCCTGCATGGCTGTTTGGCTAGTGGTGGTGTCCATTGCCTCCTGCGAGGCACTGGACACCCGCTCCAAAGAGCGATCTGTGTGTAGCGTAGACTTCGCCTCAGTCGACGAAGTCTTTGACCCCACCGGGCAAGAGGTTGTTGGGACCTCCTTAGCCTCCTTGTTGCCCTGGCTGCTGCCAGGGCTTGCAGAGGCCACCGGTGTGGACTGGTTTGCTGCGGGCAGGGCAGCGCTGGCTGTTCCCGCCAGAGGGGCAGGTGGCTCTGACCTGGCCACGCTAGGCATGGTCCAGGTAGCCACCAAGGGCCGTTGTGGTGCCGCCCCTCGTTGCACCACTTCAGCGAAGGAGGCTCTTAGTGCGAATGAAGGTGAAACTCTCTGTCGTGCTTCACGGAACGTTATATTTTCGTTAACTTTTATGGTGATGATTTCTTTTTCTCTCTTCCAGGCTGGGCACGCTCTGGAATATGCGGCATGGCTGCCTTTGCAGTTTGCACAGTGTACCTCATCGTTTTGGCACTTATCAGTTTCGTGACCTGTTATGCCGCATTTGCCACAAGTCAGCTGACCTCGGCAGGTCTGAGATCCGTGTCCAAATCGCTGGCATTTAAAACAACGTCTCGGGTTAGGAACATACGGTCGCACAGAAAGTTTTACGTAGCCGGTCTCGATTGTTTTAGGTAGGATGCTTGAATTGAATGTAAGTATTAGGTGCTTTGTTGCGGTTTCAGTGTTGTTGCGTCTGATTTTTATGCGCTGCACATGTAATATGCCTTGGTCTTTCCATCCGTCTAGGAGTTCCTCTTCACTTAGTGTCTTAAGGTCTTCATCGGATACTACGCCCTTCACTGTGTTCATGGTACGATGTGCAGTAACTGATACAGGGATATTGCCAAAGGCTACGAGGTGTGAGAGTTTGTCGTACTGTTCCTTGTCTTTTAGTTCGAGGAGAATGTCCCCACTTGCCATCTTTGAGGCCTTATAGCCGGTTCCAATGGTGTCTTTAAGGCACTTGGCCACTAGAAAAGGTGATATTGCTCTGGCTTTGGTTGATGATTGTTCGCAGTGAAGGACATGGTATTTTGGAAATGTTTCAATGTTTTGAGGGAAAAACAAAGATGATGCATCGGTGCGTACTCTTTTCGGAGCACGATCAGTTACAGGGGGGTTTTGAGGTCCCATGAAAAATTGGCTTCTTCGGCATCGGCGCCTACCACCCACCACGGAGCCCAACAAGGGGACGCGGCAGAACATGTGAACAAGCCTGCCCTTCGCCAGCAGTACGCCGTTGCTATAACCGAATATGGTTTATCCTAGGCAGGATAGCCACACAAGGTTAACCCTTGCCGCCATGAAAAATCGGAAGTAAATGGAAGAGAGAAGAAGACAGGACAGATTTAAAGACGAGAAAAGACTAAGATATAGGAAGAGAGAGATAGGAAAAGGCGACTGCCGATTTCCCCTGGGTGGGTCAGCCCAGGGGTGCCGTCTACGTGAAGCCGGGGCCAAAGGGGTGTGTTGCCTCTGCCGGGGGGCCTTAAAGGTCCAATCACCCGGCATCGGCTCAACCCCCAGGATCCCCTTTTCCCCGGACACGGCAAAGCCACGCACGGCTAGGCGTGGGAGGGAGTAGAAACTCCCCCGTTAGCTCGGGTCCGTGGTGTCGCTACACACCAAACGCCTACTTGCGCAGGCGCCCCCTGCGGGGTTTTAGCTCCCGAGTGATCTGCCTGTTACGGCTGCTTGCTTGACAAAGAAAAAAAAATCAAAATTACTGTTGAACGCTACATATATTCATCTTTTATGTCTTCGTGACATTGTGTATGCATATGCGAAAGACTGTATGCACCTCAATGACCCTCCCTCCAGCAGAAGTCCTAATATATATGCTGCAGTATCTGTAAATGAATAAGAAATTGAATATCTGCGTAGAACAATAGACTCAAATAACTTATAAGAACGTTCTTTTTAAGGCAAGTTCTGTGCCCGAAGAAAAAAATCGTCCTGGCCCTACTACAAAACTCTCTCTGCACTGCAGTACTCAGTGCTGGTTTGTTGATATTTTAGAGGGTCATAAAAAAGAATATCATTGGCGGAAAGAGCAAACCAGACACATGGCCGTAGGTGTTACCCGGTGCACGGGAAGGCGTTTAGGTCGGTGAAGTTGGATTTAGTGGTGCATAAGCGACTAAAGCAATGCTGCGTCAGCCGCATCACGATGTGACGGCGTCATCTTGCGCATAAACCAAGTGAGGCCAAAGACCATGATAACTGAGAATGTTGTTGCGTTATCAGTAAAAAGCGGAAACCAATGAATAATTCAACGTATATCTGTCGGAAGGGCTAAAGTCGACCTCGCGAAAACAAGATACGACAGTGACACATGCAATGGCATATGATTACTACGACCTCTATGTAGAGTACAGATATTATAAATTTAGAGATGTGTGTACATAACTGCTGTCTCGTCAGTGTGCGTGCACCCAAGGACCGGGAGGGAACTATTTTGTTTTAACATAGCTGCCGGGGCAACAGCCACTCTCAAAAGACCATGCTATTGGTCGGCTGCGCAACCATCGGGAATAAAACTCATTAAATGCTCCCTAAACTGGAGTACCTAAAGCTTTCCTGAAACTTCAGTTCCATCTAACAAACTTACCACAGAAATGAGAGGTACAAGTGTGTCAATTTCTAAAGTAATCATAAGGTGAAGTGGTGCTAGTGTGACATACAAGCTTTGATTTCGGCGAGTTGGCACTTTGTTAAAATAAAAAAAACGTGAAAAGAACTCGGCGATCGTATGTGCACTGTGTTTCTGTGTCATCGCCTTTTGCGTTGTTTTTTGCAAGTGACATACAGCACGAGGATGTATTTTTATTCATGTATTTCGGCATATCGTTCATGAAAACACGTGAAGGTGGTTACTAGTTGGGTAAAAAAAATCACAGCAAACACTGGGGTGCACCGCTCGGTTCATGAGGCGTAAATTGAAATTTGCTCTCCCTTCGTCCCACTAAGAGAACCGGTAATGTCTTTGTTCTAATTATCCAAGCCATTGATGCATAGCGAGTGTGAGCTGTCACCGAGCCACGCAAGACAGCTCACGTAGCTTGATGACCTCCTATTTCTATCCCATGCAGGATATCCTTACCACGGAAAGTAGCTGCCCCCGAGTAAGCAGTGGCATCTCCGGCGGCATCCCGTTCACCCTGCCACGCTGAGTGCACTGGCTTTGTCCCTGTGCCTGGGCGCGCTCATCGGCGCCACGGCGGTGGGCAACGCGCTCGTCTGCCTCTCCGTCTGCCTCGTGAGGAGACTGCGGCACCCGTCAAACCACCTGCTCGTGTCCCTGGCCGCCTCGGACCTCTGCGTCGCCCTCCTGGTCATGCCTCCCGCCATGTACCTCGAGCTCTCGGGCCACCGCTGGGACCTGGGACGAGCGGCGTGCGACGCCTGGGTGTCCATGGACGTCGCCTCGTGCACGGCTTCCATCCTCAACCTCTGCATGATCTCCGTAGACCGGTACCTTGCCATCACGCGTCCCTTGACATACGGCGTCCGGCGGACGGCGCGGAGAGCCTGGGCCTGCATCGCTGCCGTCTGGCTCCTGGCAGCGCTAATCAGCGTGCCGCCACTGTTGGTGTTAGGGAACGAGCACGGCACGCCCGACTCGCCCACGTGCCTCGTATGCCAGCACCTAGCATACCAGTTGTATGCGACGCTAGGCGCATTCTACATACCTCTGGCCGTGATGCTCTTCGTCTACTGGAGAATACACAGGGCCGCCAAAAAGGTAATTGAGGCCGAACACAGGGCAAGGCCCGGACCTCGCAGCAGGAGCCTGAGGGTCGTCTTGAGGGAGCGAAAGGCTTCCATTACTCTAGGGATCATTCTGACCGCCTTCACGGCCTGCTGGCTCCCGTTCTTCGCCCTCGCCTTGGTCCGTCCTCTGGGTGGCAAACCACTCCCGGAGGTGGCGCACAGCTTCGCCCTGTGGTTGGGCTACGCAAACTCGGCGCTGAACCCGGTCATCTACGTGACGTTTCACCACGACTTCCGGCGCGCCTTCCGGGACCTGCTGTGCCTCCGCTGTCAGACGCAGGCGTCCGGAAGCAGCACGACTGGGGGCGGAAGCAGCAGCGGAACGGTCAGACAGTTGCTGGGCAGCAGGGACAACCACTTGAACTCGTTGGCCTGACCTTGGTGGACGTCACCCGAAGACATGCGCGTCTCCAGGGTCGACGATGTGAATCAGCCACAGAACAAGCACCAGAATAATCAGGGTAATCACCAGAAGACCAATCACCATCATAACAATCGAGGGAGCAGCACGTGTGACTCCGCCAACTCGCCCGTATCGCCATTGTTCGATTGACTCACAAAGACTGGTTAACTGGCAACTACTATAATAGGTATACATTCTAAAAACAAAAGCGGTAGGTCTGAAGAGCTTTATTGTCAGCCCCAGGAACTTCGTGTGTCACTGTTCCTTTAAAACACAGGCAAGGACAAGTGACCAGTGGCCGGAGTAATATCTGTGGCATTTAGCGGGAAACAAGCACTCTTTGTCTACTGGTTCACGGTGTGTTAATGACATTTGCGTTAGGCATGCACGCAAAACAAGGTTGTGCGAATGTGATCATCAATCGAAAGAAGGTAGTGATGAGTCAAGTGACTTACTGCTTGATTGCGTACTCTCACGTGTGCGTGGCTGCATAATGACCTTGCGAAAGGCAAAACTACCGTACACGTGACAATGTGATGGTGAAAATGCTGAAAGGCACGCAGTTAATAAGAAATACTCAAGTTTATGTATGTATAAACTTGTCGCTGCTACTTGCAACGCGACAGAGACTGCGGGACTGTGACAAATGATATGCTGCTTTCGAAAACTGCGTTGAACAAAAGAAGCAAAATACAAAGTTTATATAAAAACATGAAATAATGAATGAAATTGACAGAGATCCGGCTAAAAAAAGTGTTGCGGTTCAGTTTCTTTCAGCTTCATTTTCTGATGTGTTCAGCAACCTGTAAATTCTGCGCAGGCATACAAGACGTAAGAATTCCCTGTATGCAAAGCGAACTGCATACATTTATTATCGGAAAAAATAAGTTTACTGAAACTGAATTCAGATATATCTCGCGAAGACAAGCGCTCCACTCAGCGCAAGAGTGCGGAACATCGTATTTCTCGTGCCGATAGCAATTAATACGCTTCAGCTAATTATGAATTTCCAACCATACATGAGGAGACGATACAGCGAATCTGCCTTGTGCGTCATCAAATGTCAGCCTTCAATACCGTAATTATCCCGGCACGACCTTACGTAATTTTCACGACCAGTCTGAAATCTCCGACCCCCGACATTGATTCGAAGCTTTCTGTATTGCGTTGCACGCTCGTGAGAGTTAACGCGACGCGCCCTTCATTACCCTCTGCGACCTTCAATTAGGTGCCCTGCGTGTTAAATTAGGTGAGACGGGCTTGGATGGCACGAGACATCGCTCCAGCGCTTGCCAGGCATTTCCAGCGCGGGCAACAAACCCCTTCCAACTCTCAGCGTTCACGCCACGCTCGCAATTATCGATGTGTTCATGCGTGACAGAATGAATCCTTTCTTGAGCGTGCGCTCTGTCCCTAAATATGCAATGGTTATCTGTTGAATGAGAACAGCGAGAGTCAAGAAGCGCGTCGTGTTCGAACGCGAGTGAGCGATGACTAAGGCTCCGAAAGACTTTGGCGTCGAAATGGGGTGACTGCTGTGCGCCGAAAATAGAAGTGTACCTAGGAGAAGCTTTCTACATATCAGCTGTGATATGGCCTGAAATTTGGCTCTAGTAAGAACTCGACACTTTTGAGACATTTTTTTTTTTTAATGCGGATGCATTTCTTAGTTGGGGCATGTCAAACGTCTCTCGGCGTCCGCGCGCCAGCAGGTGTTTTCTCCGCTCTCACTCCCTCTCCAATGGCAACAGCTGTGGGCGCGCGCGCTTACCTTCTCTCCTAGCAACCCGAGCAAGTGGTGTGGGCGGAGTAGCGGGGAGTGAGTGGAGAGGAGAAGCACGCTCTTGTGTGTGAGGGCGCTCGCATCGCGGGCGCTCGGCAGAGCTCCCAAGTGTGTGGAGAGAGAGTAAACGAGAGTATGTGCAGTGCTTCGCCACTCTTTCTCTCTCCGTTCGCTCTCTTTCCTCCCTGCGCACCTCTCTACCGTCCACTCGCTCGCACTTATATATAAATGGAGTGAAGCGCGCACCTGACTCTCGACCGTTCGCTCGCTAATCAATGTGTAAATAAATGGTTACGGTACAAATCCTCGTCTCATCACTAACGCCATTAAAATTACTACGCCGTGTACTCTCGGCGCAAGAAATGCATTCGTATTTCCTCACCAGTGCCTTCAGGGAGGGGGGAGAAGGCAATTTTTTTTGTAATTCGAGCACCATAGCCGAGAACAACGCAGGAAATTCACAAGCAATCCCACTCTGTGGGCGTACAGCAAAGCTTTCATCACGTGGAATAAAGGATTGGTTCAATGGAGCAAGTGGATATTTTTTAGTCCGAGGCCAAAAATTATTACCTTGTTCCATTAACCTGAAAGACAATATGTCTTGCACATACCACGCGAAGTGGTATGTGCAAGGTATACCATTTTTGCCGCAACTTTCAGTGAAATGCAACGACAGAACACTCAAATTATTCCGACCTCAGGATCGTTGCTCGAGCTTGAGGCAAATGTGAATCATGCAAGTGTAATTTTGTCGCTGAAGAAAACGTGCATTCCAACGAGGGTTCAAATTTATTCATCCGAAATCGCTAACAGCTAGTTTGTGAGCTAACTTTATCAACTGTATAAATGTGTAGGCAATATACACGGGGATACAAGCACTAGAAGAGATCATGCTAGTAAAGCACCCACGACCACGCCAATGCGTGCCACGATGACGTCCTCGTGAAGAGGTCTCTTATGGCGGGGAACATGCATCGTTTTTTTTTTTGCAATGACCATAGTAACGGCTTACCGAATGACCAAACACATGCAATTGCACACATGGAATGGTGTCGACTCGTGCCAGATAATACACCCTTACACACGTACTGGTGGCTCAAAATAGGGCCGTTATTGTAGAAACGCACTAGAGGACTCAATATAATGCATAGGCGTTTTCAAGAGAAAGGAAACAAATAAGAGCCTCCCGCCCTTTCCTACTACCCTGAGAGGAGGGGGGGGGGAGCAAAGTCTGTCGCATACATTGAGCTCTGCGACAAACCTTTGGCCACCCCATCCCCCTCCCTGAGCGGAATCCGTGCACACGCCTATGCTATCATGTATCAGATCACGTTTTCTCAGTGCAAACCAATCTCTTCTCTCTTTCGCTACGTTCATTTTCACATTTCGACAAAAATTGTACAAGCTAGAGATACTATATATATCTACATCAAAGTTTTGCGAGTCATCCTTTATGAGCTATCCAAGGGCACACAACGAATGCTCCTGCAATTCGTATTCGCACTTGAACAATACTCACTGGACGTGAGAGCCGGAAAATAATTTCTTGCCAGCGCTTCACACTTTTCGTGCTGTATGCCTGAAAGCAGCTTACAGTTTGCTCACCATCACGTGGCCAGTGATGTGCCATTCGATAAAATTACAATGTCACCATAACAGACTCGCGTGAATGGCGATTTTAAGTGAAGCATGGTGGAATTGCAGCTTGTTAAACTTGTCCGATACATCAGCAAGATCAGAGGCATACCTAATGTGTCGAATAACGGCACTCCGTGTTTCGCAAAGCATTTTTGACTACTACTCCACTGTTGTCTCAATAAGCGCCACTGCTGCGCTGTGTATCGGTGTAAAGACGACTGACCACAATGCAGTCGAATAGAGCACACTCGTTCAAGGTACACTGTAGTAATTTCGGGGAAAAGAGAGCGCGAAGATAGGACGACAGAGGTTCTTGTATACTACCCCTCCAAGCCTATCAGCATCGCACCACCTTATATGTTTACATCTCTTGTTCACCTGTCAGTGGTGAGGTTACAGCAGGCCTCTTGCTAGGAGGGGAGGGGTGCTGTGTCCCTCCACTCTCTCAGAAAGTTTGATGCAGGGGTTTTTCACGGGAAAAAAATGCTCCCACCTCGATCCCCGAAGGGATTCATGAGGAAATGCGAATGCAGTTCTTGCGCCGAAGAGGGTACCGTTCGCCGTCATGACATTCAGCCTTCACCGACTTCTGCCATCGCCTTGAGAGGTACCTAGCCTGCGAACGGTCCCGACTGAGGAGCTAGCGCACGGGAGAGTGGGGCGCCAGAGTTCTTGGCTCGGCGTTAGCATTTCACAGCGGCGTCTCGAGCACAGCATTTCCGGGTGTTCTTGAGGGTACCCAGCCAGCGAACGGTCGAGAGAAGACGGGTAAATGTAGCGCAGGGAGGAGAGAGAGCGAACAGCGAGAGAATGAGCGGACAAGCACTGCACGCCACCTTTTCCAACACTCCCTTGCACCACATGCTCTGGTTGCTAGGGGCGAGGATAAGCGCGTGGCCACAGCTGTTGCTATGGGAGAAGGAGCGAGAGCTGAGAGATAACACCTGCCGGCACGCGGACACCACCACAGACAACGGCGGATGCCTGACATAGCCCGACAAAGAAATGCATGCGCATTTAAAATATGAGTTTTTATCAAACAGTTAAGGCGTTCAGCAAGTGGGCCCTTCCCGAAAAACATTTCTGGCTACGTGCAAGGGGTGCAGTAACAAGTCAGCGGGGTAACAAGGACGACGAGGTGTTCAAGCAGATTCTAAGGAATAAAGCAAAAAAAAAACGACTGCTATTCTGGGACGAACTGCGCGGTCACTCTAAAAGAGGAACGCGCCGAATGAATTCTTTTGCGAGGTCCCACGTATCAAAGCCAGTCAGGAATACGAGGCATGCCACAGTGCCAAAATCAGGAGTGATTTTCCCTCTGCGGGATCACTTAAAGTGCAGCTGAACAAATAGAGCAGCCAACCTAAGTAAAGCAGTTTTGAATTGCATCCGCAGAGCAACGCCGTAAAGGGTAAACCATTATGACGGGTAGAGCTGATATGTTCAACTGAATAAATTACGTAGTGTGTAACTTATACTTCTTTCTGGAAGAATTTTTGTAGAGCGTGGCGAAATACGGAAACAGGAAGGGACGCATCACCAACAAGCCCACATCGCAACTCTCGTTGTTTCTGGGACACTTTAGCAAACCCACATCTGATTTACTATTGTCCGTCATAAATGATGAATCCAAAAATGTTAATTGTTTCCTTCTATTAATACAATTATTGCCTTCTAAGGCCTTTACAGAAAGTTCGAAAAATCAATAAATTCGTTCGGCCGCAAATTATTGCAAAAATTACCGGGTTGAATTCTGAACACATAAAATGTCTGCGGCATCCTACTGTCGAGGAGACTGAGCTGTCAAACTTCATCAGCAGATAACTTTTACAGGGTTCATATTTTGTACATAATGCGTTCACGATGCGAGAACGAACCGAGTACACTAAAATTTCTATTACTTGCGGAAAAAACGACACCGAATAACTACTTGACAAATCATTGTATCTCCGTCCCCCGAGCATGGAGTTGGCAGAGCTTACTGACTCAGACCACGTTTTTTTTTTTTTTTTGAAAAGCAATACGAGTACTTCTTGTATAACGAGCTACCTGTTTGGATAAAGCTCATTCTTCTCTAAGCTGGACGTCCGAAGTCCAACTACCCGTTTAATGATCCAATATCGGAAGCTTCTGCCGTCTGCGAGGTCGCTGTTATGTCGCCCTGCAATGACGCAATTTTTAGGCACTGTGGACGTATACATCTCAGTGCAACGGCGTCAGTGTTTTCAAGACAAAAATCTGTGGATACCAAGGTGATAATGTGGTCTTCTAATATATTCAAACAGCCTGCG